ACATGGAAACAAACTAATCAGCTACACATCTTTACAAGTGGAATAAATAAATAAATAAACTAAAACAAACTCATTTTTAGAAAGAAAACTTCTAATATCTAGGATCACTTCAGACCAGTTTGAAGTACTACGATTTTAAAGGTTTAAATTTTTCAGTTCAAAAACTCACAATCTTTAAGTATTGTAACTTCAAAAAAAAAATTCACATCTGTATTGTAAAACACTAAGATAAAAAGCTAAGGTATTGTAAAAAGCTAAGATAAAATTGAAGTAAAAGCCATCCATGTGATTAGTTCATACATTGTAAAAGGATTTGTCCCATCATGAAGTAACATACTTATATAGATCTTGCTGCTAAACTATATCACCATTAGATTTGTCTCCCAAAATGCAAAGCCACTACATTAATATGATTTTTTTCAAATAAACTTTAATATCAAATACCTCACAGTTCTTCACAATTTCTGAGTCAGCATTTCCAATGTTCTGGATATCTTGCATAAAGGAGGCAAGCAGCTCAACAGAACCAGGCATTAATGAGGACCTGGTATTCCCTGAGTAACCAGAAACTCCATTGGGATTGGATGAGGGACTTCTAGTGAAACATGAGGAAAAATATTTCAATTTTTTATTGTGCCAGTTGTCCAACATAGTGGCCAAAATAATATACTACATATGCTATGCAGCCATAAAAGAATTATACACTTAATTTACATTGTGACCCTAATCATGCTGGAAAAAAAAAACAAAACAATATGGTCATAAGAATGAGGATGTTTTTCAAGAAAATAAGAATGAGGATGTTTTTCAAGAAAATAAGAATGAGGATGTTTTTCAAGAAAATGTGAAAGAATCCACAGTATGCTTCATTCTTATCTTACATACTATTAAAATGCAGTAGCTTTCCAAGAACAGAGACATCATAATCAGCATAGATATTACTGCTTACTAGTACAAACGTCAGTCAGTACAGCTTTTCATCAAACCTATGTGCTTCTCCATAGGTTCTGAGGTCAGAAGCTTACAGATACAAGCTTCTGTGTAACAATGATTTATGAAATCCAAGACTACTGCCTTCTTTTGAGAAGTTACACATGCAGTAAGTGACTTGTTCTCATCTTAATAGGTTAGTCAAGAAGAAGCTCTCCTAATCTGTCACTGAGGCCATTAGTCCATATTTGCCCCTCTTATTGAATGGGAATACCTTGGGCATTGAACAGAAAAACAATTCAGTTTTCAGCTAAGCTGCTGTTCTCTACAAATGACTTAGCATAATGCATGATCTGTCCAAAGAATTATATCTTACAAATTGTCCAAGACAGGTTTCCCCCCCGCCATTCTAAGAGACACAAGGAAATGGAAGTTATTAAATTTTTAAGGAAGACTTCACAATTCTTTCGGTTAGGCTTTTCTCATTAAGGATTATACCTGTAAATGTAAAAAAAGCCCTAAAATATATTGCAGAGTATTACATATTATTTCACCTTAGTAACAATGTTATTATAAATGCATACTAAGCAAAACAAAAAGAATAAAAATATTTTTTAGGAATTCCTTCAACACATTACCTGTTACAATTCAAGTTACAGAGCGAGCTGTGGGTATTTCTCACATCAGAGTCTGCAGAAGATGAAGGGATTTGTTGTACAATATTCACCACATCACAGTTTTCCATATCTTAGTCCCAAGTATGACGTTACCCTGAAAATATAAAGAAGTAAGCATCACCTTCTTATTTTTAAAAGCCATTTAACTTTGTTGTTTGAAGAAACAGAATTTGATTAGAGACGGTTGTTTCAGCCAAACCACCCCAGAAAGCGCTAGCATTCCACAACGAACCTCTCTTCCCTATCCTCTGCTATGCTTGCAAACAGGTGCTATTTAGTCAGCCTTGCACTTGCTGGGACTCCTACAAATCAAAGAGATTCCTAGCTGTGCATCACACATCTAGAGTGGGCTGTAAAAGGTGTCTGAATCCAAAGCATCCTAGGTAGAACAGTGTTGTTGGGGTTTGGCTGGTTGGTTTTTTAAATCTGAGGCTCCACAGACCGTTTTTGAGACTCCTGTGAAAGGGCCCATTATCAATGTATTTAAATCTGCTGAACAGGGATCTGTGCCTTCACTGGAAGAAACACACCCACCAAAAAATAAAATCGAGACCCACCAAGTTAGACTGCCGTTGACCAGTTCTGCCATTTGTGTGTGTAATATTTGGCTTACTTTTTTCACAGAATGCTTGTTTTATTACTACTATATAACTGTAATTCAAAAAGCTTTGAAACTGTTTTGAGCTACATTTCTTGCTGATTAACAAACAAACAAAAAAATGTCGTCAAACAGAAATCCCAGAGCAGTTAAAAACAGCAGCTGGTTAACTGAAAGCATCATAAATAAATAAATACAAAATACTTGTGTGATGGTCTTACAGCACTCAAAGCAGCAGTTTACAAGAATGGCTGTAGAGAAACTGAAATATTCTTCCAGTTTCCATACTTCCACTAAGAAACACTTGAAATACACTGATACAGTTCTTCTATAGTTCTTATTTCAGCATGTTCTACACCCTAATTCATCCTATGTTCTAACACTGAAGAAAAACCTTACGATCATTTCACGGATGGAGAACAAAAAGAGACATTAAGAAATACCGTCCTAGTGGTCTGTGATAATACTACGAATAAAACCCTGCTGCCTTAAAGAAGCACAACACCTTCAAAGCACAACCGTTCTTTACAGGGCTTACAAGGACATGCTACTGGCTTTTACAGATTTAAGTTTTCATTATTTGTAAGTACATATATCCCTAACAGATAGCTTCAGAAGCATAAAAATTATTTCCACCTGAAGGAAACTGATGGACAACTGTCTGATTTTTCCCTGTTTTACTGGAGCCTGTTTGGCTCCAGCAGAAATGTTTTCCAGGTACTCACTCAAGCTATCTCCTTTGGGCAGGGCTGAAAATGCAAGAATTAGAAGGAAGTTATCACAGATACACATATCCCTTTGGCAGAACTTCTTGGGATAAATGAAAAAAGAAAAAAAAGCCTTTCTTCTTTTTCTAGTGGTCAGAAGTCTAGAAAACTTGAAGGTTATCAGGCACCTAACCTGACAGATAAAACACTAGCTGCAAGTGTCTCTGGAGCAGCTGGATGGCAACGGTGGGGGCTACGTCAGTCACCCCCATCTTCCCAGGATGAAATCATGGGTGGCCTATCTCAGCAGCACAGCTGATGGGTGGGACTTAGCTGTGACACAGGCTCGTTTCATAACCTCATTACAAGTCTGCTAGCAATAAAAAAAAATATTAAGTGAGCTATAACTGGGCTGAGGAACAGCTAAGCTGTCATCTGTTGTTTCCATAGCACAGAACAGTCCTTATACGGCCAAGTCCCTACATAAAGGAGCAGCATTAAAAAAACAAGCTGCAAGGTATTTTGACTCGTAAGTATCAGTGCTGATTGAGATGCAAACACCGGGGCCAGCACAGACTCGGAGACCGTGTGGCTCTGCATCTCTTCCTGAGCGAGATCGGATTGCTTTTGATTCCTCTCAGATCGCTAAGGGGTGACAGGGCGCCTCGGTCCCCGCTTCCCCTCCCGCCACCGGGCCCCCATCTCCCGAGGGACCCTGAGAAGAGACAAGGAGCCTCTGGGCTCTGAAGACCCTGTCCCCTCACGAAACGCCCTCACCCCAAGAGCAAAGCCCCCTCTAGGGAGCCCCTCCCCTCACAAGTGACCCCCTCTCACCACGTCTGCCCCCTCAGGGTCGCCTCCCCTCAACTGGTGACCTCTCCTCAAATGGCCCTCCCCCCCCGCGTTCCCTCCTCTCGTAAGTGACCCCCTCCCTCACAAGTCGCCCCTTACCCTCAGCTCTGCCCCCCTCAGGCTCC